GAATCCGTTTAATTTATGAATATATCACAGAATATGTTCATCTACATACTGGTGGCCCGTACGCTTCATAAATGGACTGTTATTCGTGTAACAATGGAATTTATCATGTTGGCATGAAATGAAAAGTGCAGATTGTGGCTGTGTGAAACGCAGCGTTGACGCAGCTGCGGGGCTCAGAGAAAGCTTGCAGTTGTGGTGTTTTGAAAGCTGAAAAAAAGGTCAATGTGTTTCATTTTAGAGCTGAAATGTACGTCTGTTGTGTGACAAAGCTAAGGAGCTGTGAAAAACGTGGATTCTGTTTAAACGGACGGAGGTTCTGCTCGACCCGGTTCTGGTCCGGCTCGGTTCTGATAAGTTCGAACGAGTGTTTTAAATAGATGGAGAGACGTTTTAAGGACTGAGCGCCGTCTCAGTGAAGCTTTGTGAGGTGATTAGTTACATTTTTAACAGAAAATAGTACATTTTGAAAGTTTAAAAGACGAAAAGTTGACCGGATGTTTATGCTAAATGCTAAGATGCTGGCTGGAAAAACGATCCGTCATTGGCTGAAAACCGCTGTGTGGTACGCCCTGATTCGCTGAGAAATGAGTGACGTGACTGTGTCACTTCCTCTGAGTCAGCGATATAAAACCCACCCCCGCAGTTTGTCTCTGTGATTGGTTGAGAACGGCCGTGTGGAACGCTCTGATACGCTGAGAAATGAGTGACGTGTCTGCGTCACTTCCTCTGATGTCAGGTTGTAAAGCTCGGTTGAACCGAAGCCTTTTCTGTGCTTAAAATCACTAAATGGAGCTGCCACATGTCCCCAAAACTCATGTTTCATGCAAAGAAGTCGTGCTTGTTGAAACAACGCCACGTTTAAGCTTTAAATCCGTTCAGAAATTTTGATTTAACCGAGTTTAGCCGATGCTAATTTTAAGCTAACAGCTAACGACAGGATGTCAACGAACGATCCACAGGAAGTTGTCAGACTCCTGCTGGTATAAATAAGCTTACACCACCACCTGCTGTTGAAAGAGGAGTATAACAGTTTTCCTGAAGAGGGACTGATAATTCCTCATAATTTTTCTTTTTCTTTTCACCCACCTGGTTCAATGAGTAACTGTTAAAATAGCGAATTTCTGGAAGTGAACGGTTTAAAAAAACGTTTTAAACTGATGTTGCTGTGAAACTTTTAGAAAAATTGCAGGTTTATAAAAATTCAGTGCTTTAGAGTAAAAAACACTGAGAAGCTTGGTAATCTAGTATCTGTTAAAAAATAAGCACATTAAAAAGTAACACTGCCAAAGGGGCATTTACTTAAATATTCATGAATTGGGGTAAAACCTACGAATTGGTGCCCATTCCTCTGAATAAGTTGACTTATAACAGTACTTTTGTGTAAACCCAGAGCTTAAAAAGTGTGTGAAACTCACTGCTCACTTGAATACAAATATTTACCTGTTGAAATATCTGAAGCTGGCAACTGTTTTAACCAGATAAAGTGCTGAACAGTGAATGACCATGGCTGATGGAACAGAAAAGAAAATTGAGACCAAAATGGAATGGTTAGAGAAAGCGTTAGCACTGCTGACGGAATCTTTATTCCATATGATAAACAGGTGGAGAGCATGAACGACAAAGAGTTATTGGAAGAGCTGATGGAGGTTGCAGAGAGTGTGACTTCTACAGAAATAACAAAGTCAAGCTATGAAAAGCTGGCTAAAATTGTGATTTTGCTGAAAGAATCATTCTATACAGTGGTAGAAAAAGCTGACGACCTTGAGATAAGGTTAAACAGTGAAAAAGAGGTGGTTCAGGAAATTGAAGAACACTTCCTTCAATTTAAAAGTGAACACGAGGTCCTCACAAAAAAACATTTTGAACAGATGTTTCAATCACAGCAAGATGCACGTGCAGAAATTGATTCACTAAACAGCCAATTACAGTCACTTAATGCATCACTAACTGAAGCCAGGGATGCTAAAGAGCTGTTGTCCAGAGAATACTTTGCATTAAGACGGGATCACGTCGTGACAGTGTCACAAGTTTCCCGCTGCAAAGCTGAGATAGACGTGCTTAAAACACAACTTTGCCATGCAGAAAGGAAATATGGTGAGAGGCGTGGACAGGATGTGGAGACACACTGGGTTTCAGACAGTGGCGGATTCACCGTCGGGCATGACGGGACACTTCCCGGTGGCCTGGTTGCCGAGGAACGGGACTAAAGGCTCGGTTCGGGTCGCACGGACTTTATTATTTTAAATAAACAATTCACTTTTGCCTGGGCTCAGGTCTCACGCTGCACTGCAGCGACGGAGAAAGCCTGGCACATCCCCCGGCCGGGCCGGCCCCCTCCCTTCCTTTTCTGTGTGTCACAGAGCAGAGACACACACACATTGCGCCCGCCCCCCTCCCCGCCCTAGGACTCGCGCTCCCGACGGTGTTGGCGCGCGGTGCGTGCATCTCTGAGTTGTAGAATGGAGCAACAGAGACAGCCAAAGAAGAGGAAAGGTGGAGCAGAGAGAGAGAGGATAAAAAAGAGAAAAGCTCTGGCCACGGATGCTGCTAAGTGCTATAAATTAATGTTTGTTCGTAATGGAGCAGGTAAGAGAAAGGTTCTCTTATAATCTCTTCTTCAGGGATCTCTTCTTCTTATAAGGTTTTTTATCTTTTTTTTTTACAAAAGTGAGTAAAAATGTGTTTAATGTTTAAAATGTGTTTGATTTGATAGAGAATAAACAACACATCTGTAGTACAACACGATCTCTCATTTGTTGTATGAAACTATGATTGACTGTCATATTCCTAGTGATTTTAAAAGGGCTTATGCATAGCAAAATATAGGGCAACATAATTTCAGTTTATGTGATTTGAGGACGGATTATTGCACCACAGAAGAAAGATTTATGTAGGTATTCAGTTAGACGTGTGCAAACAACATGCATTCAAAGTGCGCTCAATTGAACTCAGTCTTGGTGGTTTGCGTTAATCAGGTGGTGGTGGCCTGGGATGGTATCAAAATTCCCGGCCTGGATTATTGTCCCAGTCCGCCCCTGGTTTCAGACCCAAATCTCCTCACATCACACACACCTCCATCCATACCTAAAGTGGTAGGGACAGACCTGAACAGGTTTTCACTACCAACCATGCAACAGCATGCATGGAAACTTCCTCTTTCAATAGATGATCTGCTAAAACTCTCAAAATATGTACAACGCTTTGTACCGGGACCAATGGGTTCAACTGGAACAAAAGCGTACCTCAAAGACCTTGAATTCAGACTGAGTGGTTATCCTAATGCTACGGTTGAGGATAAAATCAGTCTGATAAGGCTCACTTCGGACAGAGAGGTGTTCACCTTCATCGAGCGTCTACCTGATGCCACGAGAAGGGATTACAACCTTCTGTGTGAGGCTTTGATCAGAGAGTACGACCCCTGCACGGGACCTGCTGGTTTCCCAGCCGCAGACAAGGTCACGCAGGGCAAGCATGAACATCCAAAAGTCTATTACAAAAGAATCTTCCAAGCTTATTTTGGTTACAGAAATGAAACCGGAATGGAGGAAGAAGAAGGTTTTAAATTTGTTTTCAGCAAAAATCTCCACACTGACATACGCATGTCAGTACAAATTATGGCAAATTTCAGAGAAAAATCCATCAATGAGATTAAACAGTGTGCTGTGAATGTGTTTGAGGCATGTTCTCATGCTAAGACACCCATAGAGGTGTTTCCTGGTATAAAGGTTAAACCCCACTCCCTAGAACTGGAAGGACGGCGTGCATTGACCCCTCCTCCTAAAACAGGCGAGAAAAAGCAGTATTTTCAAACTAACAAACCGCGTAATGAAGGTCCACGCTGGGACAGAAAAGCTCCTCTTTCAGAGGATGAACGTGATTATCGTAAATGGGGTGTGCGTAGGACGCAAAGATATGGGAACCAAGAGGACCCATATTATCAGGGGAAGTCCGAAGAGGAACCCCCAAAAGACGTACCTAACCCTCCCCCACCTCGGACGAAACGAACCGAGGCGATAAAATCACAAAAGTTCCAGATACAATGCCCTACACCTCTGAGCTCGGAGGAGACAGAGAAACTACAAAGGTTGTTGGAAACTTTGAAACACGCTGAAATGGGATACCAACCTGGAGCACTGTGTAGTGATGTGATCGCTACTAAATCTGAAGGCGCAAATGACAACATTACAGATGTCGGTGAAACACACCAAGACATTATTGTTGTGGCCTCCAACAACCCCTCATCGGACGAAGGGGGGGTAAACTCACACACAAACGATGATGAGTCATCGCAACCTGAACACTCAGAACCTGATTTTCATGATTTTGAACTAGGCATTCCATTTCTGGGAGGACTCCCAGATAACCTGGTGCCGAGTCAAGAAGCTGGGCCAGTATGGTTCACAAAACCAACACAGGCCATAGCTCTTTTCTCAACCGATGATGT